GCATTTTCTTTCGCATCTACCATGGGGAGTGCTCTGAGGAATTGTTCGGATTAATCCCAGCCGCCAAATTTCACGAACGCACATCGCGGCAGAACTCCCGATACCATCCACACCATCTGGATGATTGGCGGTCCACCACTGTGCGATTTAGAAGATGTTTTCTTCCTCGCACAACTTCCTTGTGGAATAGTTTACCACCAGGGATTTTTCCGGACCGATACGACTTAGGTACCTTCAAGAAAAGAGCCTACTCCTTTTTAAAGGGCCGGCAACGCATCTGCAATTCCCCTGGTGTTGCGGTTGTTCATGGGCGGCGGTAGTCACTTACCATCAGGTGAGCCGCATGCTCGTTTGCCCCCTCTCCTATAAAAAAAAAAAAAAAAAAAAATCCTGCTTGTCAATATCGATACCATCGAAAATAGAGGGACAATTGCTTTTATATTTACGCAGATTGAAACAACCTGATTTTAACGCATTTGACACCGACTTCTGTATATAAATTAATTATTGAGGGTCATCTGCTGCTGTGATTAAATCATCGACATAGAAGTCTCTTTGTATAATGTCTTTTATGAGTTCGTCGTCTTGTTCTTGCCCTAACTGCCATAAACAACGTGTGCTAAGGTAGCTTGCACTTGCAGCGCTATAGATTACCGTGTTCAAAGCCAAAGTCTGAATGGGTTGTGACTTATTCTCCCTCCATAACATTAGCTGTAAGTGCCTATCACTCTTATTCACTAATACCTGTCTGTACATTTTTTCAATGTCGCCTGTAAGTAGGTACTTATATTGTTTAGCACATATCAAAATGGAAAAGAGGGTATCTTGAACATTTGGGCCGATCATTAATATGTCATTCAGAGAATAGCCTGTAGTGGTGGGGACAAAGCCGTTAAAAACCACACGGAGCTTGGTGGACTCGCTTTCCTGTCGTATAACTGCATGTTGACACAAATAATAAGATGGGTTAAGGTTCGGTTCATCATTGTAATTGTTTATTGAAAGATGTCCTAAGTCAGAATACTCGTTTATGAATTTAACGTATTCCGATTTGAGAGCTGGGTTGCGTTTAAACCGTTTTTCTAGATTAATAAATCGTTTTTTGGCTAAATTGTAACTGTCACCCAAACACTCAACCGATTTTTGCAAAGGCAGTTTTACACAAAACTACCTTCCTTATCTCGTATAGTATGAGCAAGAAAGTGACTTTCACAATCATTTTCAGGCTCATTCGTGCTACATTTAGTGGGAACTTCTTCCAATTCCCAGAACTTAGATATTAATTGTTCAATATTTTCATTTTGTGATTCAGTGATAATTGCGTGATTACAATGTATCTTTTTACTAGATACTGTTGATTTTATTGGGCCAGATACTATCCATCCAAGATGTGAACTCCTTAACTTAGGACAATTGGGTCCTATGGACTGTTGGTCATTGCCTAGAATATCCCAGAAGAGATCAGCACCTATCAATACATCTATGGGGGCTGGCTGATGAAACATAGGATCAGTCAACTTGATATTTGAGGGTAGTTTTAATGAGCTAATATCAACCGGCATTTTTTGGTACGTGACCGGTGAGTTCTTTTAACACAAAGCATGATAACATTGCACTAAACTTGCTATTTATTGATTTAATTTGAATATTACAACTTTCAATTACATGTTGAGATGAATTGTTACCGATGCCAATGACCTTTAGTATGTCAATTTGACGGGTTGGTAAAGATAACCTGGTCTTTAGGAACTCAGAAATGAATCCTTTTGTTGATCAAGTGGATTCGATACTTCAATCATTGCAGTAGATATTAAAACCTGATTTGTATTTTGATTAGAGTAATTAACGATAATCTCATCTTGTTCATCCGCGAGGGTGAGGTGGTTTGAAGAAGAAGACGGACGGTGGAGCAGACTGTTGCGCTCTTTGCAGTCGCGCTCGCGACAAGGCCCCATGCGACACTCGCTTTCAGGGTGGCCCTGCCTTAGGCAATTGACACACAATTTATACTTCGTTATGTCCATCATTCGCTCGTCAATCCCATTAGCCCTAAATTATTAAAATAATTTAATAAACATATCATTATATATCGGCTTAGATATTTACATACGAACAAAGTCTCGGGCACAGATAGTCTTATAAGCAAACAGAGATCCAATAAGCAAAACAGGGAATCAATAAGCCAACAGGGATCCGCCTCATCATCGCACGGGTGATTACTGGATCTCGATAACAGCACCACCAACCAAGTCTTCGTCTAGTCGTTAGTTTGCGTCTGTAACGCTTCAGCTGGTTTTTAAAAAAAACATTTTAAAATTCAGTGTTTGGTGTATAAGTGTAGGTACGTGGACAATCCCAACGCAACTATTTTTGCACAATTCTTGGCTCCAGCTGAGATTCCAGGAACCGTGGGGAAGAAGTCAGGTTCTATGATGACGCAAATAGCTCTCGATATCATTAAGTATAAGTAGTATTAAGTTCTACGCACCGGTTACTTATATATACTAGAGAGTTTTGTGGTCGTCAGAATTTCAATGTGTTCTATGAGTTTTCTTAATGAAGAAAAATGTTTCGTTCTTCGGAGACAAAGTAACAATTATGTATTGTCATTTTGTACGTCATATTACGTCATGCCAACATAAGTCATCAAAGTCAGTCTCAAACTCCAAACAAAATGGGATAAATTTTTAAAATACAATTATATTTAAATAATCTTTCCTTTTAAATAAATATCCTATAATGAGGAACATCATAAAGAAATTACAAAGTACACAGTTTATAAATCTTCGATCCTTGCCAAGATTAATAGTTTAACATCTCGCGGGTAAGTAATGGTATATATGGTAATGGTATAACTCAAATTACAAGGGCCGAGGGCTTACCTCGGGCTTATCTCTAAGATAGAGTAAGCATTTATCGATATTTGCCTGATACCAATAATGCCAGATATTTTGCCAAGGTACAAAATACAAATCATTTAAACTTGTTAAAATTATAAAAGTTAAAGTTACAGCCTATATACGTCCCACTGCTGGGCACAGGCCTCCTCTCATTTCTGAGAGGGTTTTAGGACAAGGAAATGAACGACGAGCTGCCCCAATGCGTATTGGTGAACTTCATAAATCTTCGAAGTTATTTTTCTATTTCTTGTAGGTTTCCTCACGATGTTTTCCTTCACCGCCGAGCACATGGTAAATGAGCACTTAAAATTGCAATTAACTTACATTGGTGCCGGTGGGGATCGAACCCGGGTTGCACGCGTACTGTGAAACTTACAGCGAGCGCTAACCATCTGAGCTACAACGTCGGCACATCTGACTCGTGCCAACGTTTAAATACAGTTGATATTATCTGTCTGCTGTCCTGGCTCCTCTTGCCCCATGCAAATGGGTAAATATACGAAAAGGCGTGGTGAGGCATACTGGTAGCGCTTACGCAAGGGTTTATATGTGGTAAAGGTAAAGCCACACTGCAGTGAATTATGGCTCTTTTATGGCACGGATGGGCCGACAGGCGAAGAATCACACTCGTACCAATCCAGCGTAAAATAGCAATATAATTACTCTCTTTATTTTGTGGTATAATGCTGCCATATTTCATTTGGTGAGTGACAAGAACAGAATGCAGACTTATTGAATCAATTAATTGAGGATAGATATAGATGCGCTCTGTCTTCCTTTTCAAACGAAATTTTTACGTGGTAGAGCCATGCTGCAGCTATTTTAATAGTATAGTTGTAGCACGAATCGGTCGGTTCGACCGGGGAAGGACCACACTCTCACAGAATACCAGCGTAAAATAGCCGCTTAACGCTGCTGTGTTTCGTATGGTAAGTGTAGAGAACCGGAGACCCTTTTTACTGGGAAAGAGGCATTCCATTTTAGTCCTTGCGGGTGACAACGCATCTGCATTTTGATTCGTAATTGAGGATAGATGTGGATCTCTATGGGTCACAGCAACCACTTACCATCAGGTAGACTGTGCGCGTTTGTCACCCTATCCTATAAAAAAAATTATAAAAAGGAGGAGGTTCTCAATTCGTTGGAATCTTTTTTTATGTATGTTCACCGATTACTCAAAGACGTCTGAACAAATTTGGAAAATTATTTTTTTGTTTCGAAAAAAACTTCAAACTTCTTTCAAAACTTCCCAGGTTTTAACGAAATCAGTCGAGGCGTTATAAAAAAAATCAACAATAAATTATATTCATATTGAAATTTGTTTGTACAAAATTTCAAATTTACCACTTGTTTAGGCAGCACTCCATCTTTCTTTTTTTGGGTTGAGTTTACATCATTAAAAACATATAAAGAAGAAGAAAGAAGAATTTAACGGTAGCGCAGTGGCTCTGTAGCTACAGCGCTATCGTCAAATTCTTCTTTCTTCTCTTTATTTGTACCCGCTGGCTCACATCACCGTTGACAGCGCTTACAAATCCCCCAACGGAACAAGTTAGTATGGCCTAAAAAGAATTATTCAGTGTCTGGATGTTTGCCCTTAAAATTTATCTTTGTAAAACACCTAAAACGTGAATTTAGAGGAAATTCTAGTGTGATAAAGTTTTTTCTTAATGAAAAAGAAATGTCGTAGAACACTCAGTTGAAACGAAGTTCCTTGCGTAGTATATTATTATTGATAAACGTAGGTATTATATTATTGATTAACAAATACAAATAAATGAATTACTAGCGCCTATTAAAATGAAGCGTCATTTGAAATAAAATAATATTTCTTTCATGGTAAGATAAGAAAAAGTGCGAGGGAGATGGATGTTATTCCATCTCACTTCCTTATTTCGCCGCCAAGGCCGTCTACACTATGACACAAGGGGTAGTGACGAAAAAATCTTACAATTTTTGTCGCCTAGCTCCCAACCACCAAACCGGTACCGTCCGATAAAGAACTTCGTTCCAAAAACTGATTAGTACAGTTTGTTCTACTAAACAAAAACCAACCAAAGAACTGTTAGTCAAACTGTACCGTCATTTGGCAGTGACACATTGAAGGACTCTCGTACTAATATGAAGCGCACAGAGCCATCTTCACCCGGACCGATACCAGGGGACAATGGGAAATATAACATGGATTTCCAACGAGTGTCGGTCCACGGAATACATACAACCGGAGTAAGCCAAATATAGCATAGTTAAAAGTAGAGTAAGAGCTAACATAGACTTTCCATTGTTAGGTCCAAAACTCATATTTAAGTACTAGCTGATACCCGCAACTTTATCCTTTGCAGGCTTCGGTGCATTTCACTTGTGGCGCGACCACATGTTTCTTCTCCATCAGTTCTTGTTTCTTTGATTTATATGGTCGGCACATTCTCACTTCAGCTTTCTGAAGCGTGGTGCAGTCTGTTACTCTGGTTCTACTAAGGATATAAATAAATTTCTAAGTTTATCGCAGAAAAACTCCGAGCACAGCCCTATAGTTCGCCTAACGACCTTGAACTTAAAACTTTTGTTGCCAACCCGCCTGCCAAGCGTAGCAACTATGGTTAACATTCCCCCATGAACAAATTGACAGTTATACATAATTGCAAATAAAACTGCGTTCAATTTCAAACCTCCAACCAATAAGGAAAGATAGACGTAACGCTGAGTATATTTCGCGTTCCAATGCATCACGGAACAAGTAGCTTGCATTCTATAAAATTTGAGGCGAATGCTATATCTTATTCTAAATGCGAACTTTTTAGATTCGTTGAGTAAAATATCTTGCACAATCAATTAATGACCATGTTACGTGGTACGTGGTGTTCACATGGTAGAGCCATGCTGCAGCTATATTAGTAGTATATATGTAACACGAAGGGGTCGGCTCGACCGGGGAAGGACCACGCTCTCACAGAATACCAGCGTAAAATAGCCACTTAACACTACTGTGTTTCGTATGGTGAGTGTAGAGAACCAGAGACCCTTTTTACTGGAAACGAGGCATTCCATCTTAGTCCTCACGGGTGACAACGCATCTGCATTTTGATTCGCAAACGAGGATAGATGTAGATGTCTATAGGCCACAGCAACCACTTACCATCAGGTGGACTGTGTGCTCGTTTGTCACCTTTATCCTATTAAAAAAAATGATACTATACCACATACGGCAACCGCAGTTTTTTTATACTTTTGAGTTGTTATCATGAAAATGCTGCTGCCCATTTCCTGTTCAGTTTAACTCTGTCGCCTCTCATGACAGTCACTAGAATGAATGGGGTAGCGAGATTCTTTTACACCGTCTCCACTGTGCAAAATCAAATTGTCTATACAAATAAATAAAATTGAAGTGTCTATTTGTAATGTCAAAATTATAGTTTAACTAAATGCATATGAAAGTATATACGGTACTAATAACAAAAATACAATTTTTATAGTTTTATCTGTCTGTCTGTCTGTCCGTCTGTCTGTCTGTTTGTTCCGGCTAATCTCCGAAACGGTTGGACCGATTTTGACGGGATTTTCACTGGCAGATAGCTGATGTCACAAGGAGTAACTTAGGCTACTTTTATTTAAGAAAAACAAGTAGGGTTCCGCGGAAAAGAATTAAAATCCCAAATAACACGCGGGCGAAGTCGCGGGAAACAGCTACTATAGTAATAAATATACTCGTTTATAATGAACTCAGGTGCCTCTGGAAGAGCTGTCAGCTGCAGCGTCTTTCTTAACAGAGGCTTTAGACCTACGTCGCCGCTACATGGAAGTCTCCAACCAATCTTTCCCACTCGATCTCGCCAGCTTCCTTTCTGCTCACAAGACGTCCAGCAGTTCTCGCTACCACCTCTCTCCAAACATCGTCAAAGCAATGAAAGAATGGGATTGTAAGAATTTTTTATTCACTAAATAATTTATCTACGATTTAGTATCACTAGTGCTACATTAATAATATATACTATATAGGCTATATTTTATTAGGTATTAGTTGAGAAATAAAGAAATGTTTGCAACTGTTATTTGCAGAAGTTTTGCTATGAATATAAAATAACTATATAAGGGTGATAAACGAGCACACATTCCACCTAATGGGGAGGAGTAGTCCTCTCCCGAAGAGGGCCGGCGCTGGTGGAGCAGCGGATGTGTTCGAAAGCGTTCCCGTGGCCCTGCCAATATGCGACAAAGTTGGAACACCATGGGGTTTTAGCCGGTGCGAGTACGACATAACCCGTCCTTGCCCCCGCGAGGAGGGTATTCGTAGGCACTTCCCTATGTAAAAAAGTAGTAAGTACGTCTACTGTTATGTTTGGTTTGAAGAGTGTAAACTGGAGGACTATAATTACAGATTGTAAGACATTACATCTTTATTCACAGAGATATTGACGGAGGTACTATCTCGATATTTAATATTAGTTGTTAGTTACAGGTCTGCATGGATAGCAGTAGCATTAATATCGACCCAATTATAAGAATCATGATATGAATTTTGACGTCTTTTTACCGCCAGATGGCGCAGTCGACATGTATCTACAAATGGCACCACCTTCTAACGATAACCTGGCATACCAGTTCGACGATACACCGAGCAAGTGGTCTCCGAGCACGAGTTAGAACGTTATATTCACTCCTCAATACTTTGAAGTTGTTTGGCATTTCATTGAAGTTTGTCGACACATTTTTTTTTTCATTTATTTGTTTCAGCCTTTAAAATTCCATAGAGTGTGACATTGTTATTTATAACCCGACTACGTCGGAAAAAGGTTTTATATAAATGTTATTCAATATCTAATACTAAAACGATCACTGCATTCGGGTTTTTCTTTTTCTAAAAATAATTGTTTTTACTAAGGTTTATAAAAATGCAATTCAACTTCTTTTTTTTCAGTATCCATGGCTCACGAAATGGCCAGTGCAGGCCCTGACAAAATGTCAAGCAATGTGAAGGTATCTCTTGAGAGTCAAGAAGACACCGAGGCTAACTTACAGGGTATTGATGATTCGTTACAAATTAATAAAGTTATTATTTTTTTATAGAATAAGGGTAAATGGTATGGCCTATAGACATCTACATTTATCCTCGATTAAGAATTAAAATGCAGATGCGTTGTCACCCCTGGGTGACAACGCATCTGCATTTTGAGATGGAATGGCTTGTTTCCAGTAAAAGGATCTCCGGTTTTCTTGACTCATCTACGAAACACAGCAGCTTTAAGCTACTATTTTATGCTGGTATTCTGTGAGGGCGTGATCCTACCCCGGTCGAGCCGGCCCATTCATGCTTCAACCAGGGGCGGATTTGAACTTTATGGGGCCCGGGGATAAAATTGAGAAGGGGCCTAATTAAGGACAGCGAAAAAGGCTATTTCCGCGAATTAAAATACGCGGTAGATAGCTGACGCCTGAAATAGCGGCGGCGCCGCGCCGCTGCAGCATTTTCCGTGAACCAATCGATATATTTTATTTTGGATCGAGGAGAAAACACAAAAAAGTTTGCGACGTGGAGACTCGTTCCCACATCACCTAGATGTCTGAGATATCTCTCTGTCATTACACTATCTAGCCCTTTTTCGTCCCTGCCTCGTTTACTGGCGATCTAGTGAGGTCTTCATACTCTTTACAACATTGATACGATATGTTTATAGATTTCTTTTTAACCGCATTTTCAAAGTTATTTATAGCGATAAACAAGTGAAAAAAATAATAATAAATAGAATAACAGATTTAATTTGTCTCTTTTTGTTTTCTTTAGAATTGTTATTAAATAATCTTTCATTAAAAATTATTTAAATTATATAAATAAAAAAGAAAATCACAACCTTTGGCATGAATGAATAACTTTGCGCGATAAACGTTAACATTCTCTGGTAGAAATTTCCCCCAACCGTTCGCCACCGTGACCAAATGCTGCAGCGTTAGCCGCAGTTTTTCCCAACCCATTCGCTAATAATACCACTTATTTCGTTATTTCATCACAGATTTCACCCGTCTTTGGCCAACAAATAGTTAACCGATGGCAAATTAAAAATCGTAGGTAATTTTGGTTAACTTATTTTCTCTGCAAAACATTTTACTTTTATTCAAAATTCTTTGAAACAGGTTTAAAAAATTTATTTTTGATTCGAGACCGCGGGCTCTCCCGCCAAGGTGGGGCTCGGGGCATTAGCCCCCCCTAGCCCCTCCTTTAATCCGCCACTGGCTACAACCATCATATAGCTGCAGCGTGGCTCTACCACGTTTAAAATTACCGACTACAAAAAAGGGATTGCCCTTAATTTCCGGGTTTCATTCTAAATTCGGCCGTATTTTCATGTGGTAGAGCCATGCTGCTATATATTATACTTGTAGTACGAATGGGTCGGCGTGGCCGGGGAAAGACCATGCTATCACAGAATAACAGCGTGAAATAGCAGCTTAACGTTGCTGTTTCGTATAGTGAATGTAGAGAACCGGAGACTGTTTTCTACCGACTTCAAAAAGGAGGAGGTAATCAATTCGACGTGTATGTTCCTTTTTATGTGTTTTACCTCATAACTTTTTAGGGGAACCGATTTCGATGATTCTTTCTTTTGTTTGTAAGCTGGTGCTTCTCATGTGTTCCCATATAAATTTGATCAAGGTCTGATAGTTTTTGAGTTATCCTTAATAATTTATAGTGAAGTCGGTTGTACAAAATTTTTAATTTTAAATTATCACTGAAAATAATGAATTTCGTCTTACTTAAGATGGAATGCCACGGGTGCCACTCAGGGGTCACAGCGCATCTGTATTTTGATTCTTAATCAAGGTCAGATGTAGATGTCAATGCTATGGACCACAGTAACCATTTACCATCAGGTGGACTATGTGCTCGTTTGTCACCCTTATCCTATAAAAAAACAAGAAAATGTAAATGCGCACTGTTACGAGTACGCAATATGTTTGACGCGTTTACATAGTTACATTTGAAAGGAATTACTTTTTAATTTCGCAGTTTCACAGACACACACGACAACCGTAATATGCCATTAAAATTGTTACCCCCCAGCCACACACTGGTCGAGTGGCATGGGAAGTAGCGAGGAAAGGAGGGGGAGACGTAGTGTGGCAACAATACTCGTCATGCCGCACGTCATGCTCATGGCTCCCTGTTTTGTCGGTTTTTTTGGGCGCGAGTCAAAGGCAGTCCTAATATTAGCGCGAGTGGCTGGCCAGCACAAACGCAGTCCGAATCGAGCGTTCGTTAAGGAAGCGTCGTTCTAATGTCTCGCCAACAGAGATGGTGACTATATGTCATCCACCATCTCTGTTGGCGAGGATGACGGCGTATATTTCTTTTTTATGACATTGATATAATTAGCTGTACTAAATACGCATATAGAGCGCACGCTGCAACAGTTGCAACAATCATTGTGTTGCAAACGTGAGCGACCTAGTGCGGAGCGTCGCTTCTTCCTTAATAACTGGTTTTACGGCTCTGGGTTCTAGCTCTTCTGAGCCTGAAGTTACAATGTATAATTATCCTTCATAGTACACTGCTTCACAATATGTTGATGAGTCACATTGTGCAGCCCTTGTGAGATTTTGACGGTAACTTGAGCCAGCAGACAGCTGACAGTTGGCGATGGTATCTCAAGGCACCTAAGCAGACAGACACCTTATCTTGAGAATCACATCACTATCAGAGCACTTGTTTCACAGTTTCCACTAATAGTTCACATGCGTAGACGTTTAATACATAAAATCGCACCACTTTTACATATCAAAGTCCACTTCAAACCATTATTTAAACAATAATACAGGAGCAGCAATCCGCCGCCGGTCAAGTTCCCGCCAAAACTCCGCGGAGCGTCGCGATTAATAGCGCGAGTAGAGTAGTGTGTGGGCAGAGAGGGCAACATCGCGGCAGCGCGAGGAGTAGCATAATGTGGCGCGGCCATTACACTATTGTTGTTCATAGTTCTCTCCAATAGATTGTCACTAATTACGGTCGTGAGCTATCTATACCCTCATGTCCTTTCCGTCTCATTTTAATTAGCGTTACTGTCAATACAGGTCTTATCCGTCAGACCCTTAACCGTTTAGAATACAACGGTTGTTGGTTCCACAAGCTAATACTAAAGAACACACTCGTAACTCTTTGTTATATCGCGTATTGCAGAGAACCCAGACCCGTGGTCGTGTGTCGTACCTCCAGACAAGAATTACGTATACCGTTGGCATAGCGGTGTGGTGCGCATATACCGCAACGAAAACGACGTGCAGGCGTCTCAAGCAATGAACTATCAATGTGTACCCTTCAGCCAGTATGTGGAGGACCTAAATAAGCTAGGCGCGATGAATGTTAATGGACCTTTGTGAGTAACGGTGCAATTAAAAAAAAACTGTTTTATGTTTTACTAGGTGTACAAACGTATAGTACGTTGAATTACTCTATGATAACCTATTACAGAGAGAGAGAGAGAGAGAGAGAGAGAGAGGCACAACGTTATCGTATATCAATATTACACTTTTAGAAAGCAAGCACTACTTTAGCTATTTCTGACACATACACAATACACACACACACACACACACAAACACTCTCGCCTGTCACCCAGAGGGGTAGGCAGAGACTACGGACTTCCATTTGGCGCGATCCTGACACACCTCTCTCGCCTCCTTTACATACATATATCTACGCATACACGCTCGTCGGTTAAGGGTACTCCTAATCTGGCCCATTGTCAGTGTATCGCCGATTTAGTCGATAAATCTTCGTCTATGGCGGTCCCTTCCCGATTCTGCCGTTCACTTTTGACACATGTGTTACTAAATACCCTCAAAGTAAGCATGGGACAAGCATACACCTCGTGTGTAGGTTAAAGTAACGTTACTGGTTTACTATACCTTACTAAATATTAATAAGTGATTGACGCTTTTTGACAATGTTGATAGAAAAGCAAGTCATCAAGTGGTAGAGACTCGTTTTCTGCCCAGGAGTGCGTCTCGTTAGCAGGTGTGCGCGCTTTGCTGTTTTTTTTTTTTATAGGATAGGGTGACAACACACAGCGAGCACACAGTCCTCGGCTCGACCGGGAAAGGACCACGCTCTCACAGAATACCAGCCTAAAATAGCAGCTTAACGATGCTGTGTTTCGTATGGTGAGTGTAGAGAACTGGAGACCCTTTTTACTGGAATGCCACGCCATTCCATCATAGTCCTCACGGGTGACAACGCATCTGCATTTTGTTTGATGTAGATAGGCCGCAGCAACCAGGTGGACTGTGGACTGTGTGCTCGTTTGTCACCCTATCCTATAAAAGAAAGGTGTCCCTAGGCTGACGTAGCCACATACCATCAAGTGAATTTTAAGTTCGTTTTTTATTCAATTTAATGTTATCCTTGTTTAATTTTTGGATAGTTTCTGCCATATAACAAAAATGAAGCGCAAAATGGTGCTAAAGATTAAAATCTCAGATAAATTATAATAGAAATCTAACACACTTATTCACGCACTCTCAATTATTTTAAACTCGAACAACCTTTGATATAATTCTACAAAAATTTTAATTATATTTCAATTTAAAAAAATGTTTTTATTGAAATATTAATTGTTTAGCAACAAACAAATCTGCAGGTAAGGCAGGTAGGTCGATTATTCGGTATATTGGTCTGGATGCTTGTCCATTTGCATTTTATTTATGTAAATTGCCTCAACGATATGGGAGAAATCACAAAACACTTTTTCATTAAAAAATGGGGAAACACAGAGAAAACTAATTGTGTGGTAAAATACGTACGTAAAACAAGAACGCACTGTTCTTCGTTTTCTAAAATCAAAGTTTCAATAATAAATATCATCATGATTATTACCGCCCTGAACACATCAGCAGTGAAATAGTCCAAGGAATGCCATAAACCACGGTCCTCAGCCACCTGCATCCTGTATCTCCATCAGCTTCCTCTATCTCTCACCAGGTTGTCGATTCATCTAGTGGCGGGTCACCCAAAGTTATATTATATCATTTATCATGTATTTATCACGTTGCAGAAAATCATTTTGTTTCCGGCGCCTGAGCTATCTCTTCTCAAAATTCAAGATGCACGTGTTGCTCAATGAGATCCACGAGTTGGCGCTGCAGAAAGCCGTGCCTCACAGAGACTTCTATAATATTAGGTAAACGGCGAAACAATTGTCGACTGTCTCGTTGGTTTAGGATACAATTTAAAATTAAAAATTTTGTACAACCGACTTCAATATAAATTATTAAGAATAACTCAAAAACTACTGACTTGACCTTGATCAAATTAATATGGGACCACGTGTGAAGCACCAGCTGTCAAATAAAATAAGAATCATCGAAATCGGTTCACCCAGTAAAAAATTATGAGGTAACACACATAAAATAACATACAGTCGAATTGACTACTGGCTCCTTTTTGAAGTCGGTAGAAAAGTGGAGGTTGATCATAAGGTCCGAGGTCGGATTCGAGTACGGGTCAGGCCAATTGAAATTTGTTGAGGTTTTTTGTCGAAAAATTCTCAGTAACAGCCCGGCGTCAGGAATTTGACGGTGTTTCAGTCCCGTGCATCGGCATCGGTAATCACGTAAAGCCGTTGGCCATGCGCCCAATCCATCCGCTCCATCAAACTATGAGAATGAGAGAATAGAGAGTGAACCTGTGCTTGTGCATAAATCCTGTCCTGCGAAGATTGCTAGTCTACGTTGAGACATGGCGCCGTGATCTAAATCTCCAATCGCAGAAACACACAGTCCATCTGATGGTAAGTGGATGTTGTGGCCCATAGGCATCAGGTGGATTTATTCTCGATTAAGAATTAAAATGCAGATGCGTTGTCATCCCTGAAAACTTGATGGAATGCCTCATTTCCAGTAAAAAGGGTCTCCGGTTCCTACACTCACCATACGAAACAGCAGTGTTAAGCTACTATTTTACGCTGATATTCTGTGAGAAGGTACTATCCCGGTCGTGCCGACCCATTCGTGCTACAACCATAATATAGCTGCAACGTTGCTCTACCACGTAAAAAACTGTAACCTCTATAATCTAAGCTAAGTGGGAACATTATTCAAGCTTGCTTGTAGATTCAATTTAAATAAAATAAGACCGAATTCGTATGTCGCTTCGATTTTATATAAAAAGATTGACGTGTGGTTTATAATTTCGTTTGACAATTCAGTTTAAAAAATAAAAATAACATGCAAACAAACATGAGCGTCGTGGAACACTCGGTTGGAACGAAGTTCCTTTCGTAGTATATTATTATTGATAAACGTATTATACAATATAACACAACGTATTATATAATTGTATTATAGGTATTATTGATTAACAATTACATATAAATGAATTACTAGCGTCTATTATAATGAAGTGTAATTTAAAATAATATTTCTTTCATGGCAAGATAAGAAAAAGTGCACAGGTAATGAATATTATTTCATCTCGCTCAGAAAGGGGGTCGTGACGGCAAAATCTTACACTTTTTCTCGCCTAGCCCCCCATCCGTCAAATTCGTACCGTGCAATAAGAAACTTCGTTCCAAAAGGATTGAAGAGGAGAGGCATTTGGTTGCAGGAAGGTGGACACACACATCCACGCGGCATCGTGTATGACGCAGAAGCACTTGGTGCGGTTCATGAAGCGAGCACTGCGGGAGCGTGCTGGTGAGCGAGTAGCGATGCGCGGCGGCCGAGCACGCACGCTGCGCTCGCTGTTCCGAGACATGCGCCTCGACGCGCACGACCTCAACGTGGACCTGCTCGACGTGCACGCGGTGAGTCACTACACGAAGTCGAACTGTTCCACGTACACGCGGTAGGCCAACGAACGGCTCGATCGGGGGAGGTCCACACTCTCACAGAATATCAGCTTAAAATAGCAGCTCAATGCTGTTGTGTTTCGTATGGTGAGTGTAGAGAACAGAGACATTACCATTCCGTATGAAGAGAGCCGCGTGAAAGCCGAAACAGATAAGCGAACAAAATATCTAGACCTGTCTCACGAGGTGACTGACATGTGAGGTGGTCTGCCGACCGAAATTATACCTGTATTCCTAAGTCAAGAAGCAATGGCAAGAGCCAGCAGTACAGTGCATTTCCGGCCGGGAGACCGTATGGAAGGAGAAGCAGCTGCACGGGAGGTTCTACAAGGCTCTTCATGAGCCTTTCATAGACACAGTTGCTTCCTTCCATTGGCAAAATTTTGGTGACCTCCTTTTTTCGGTCTTGTCTGTGCAATACAGGATCAGGTTGTTAAGACCAACAACTATCGGACATACATATATCCTAAAGGATGGCACCGTCGACGTCTGTCAAGCTTGTGGCCATCCCGGTGAGTCACTTTGGCATGTCTACTCTTGTTGTCCGGCGCTTTCTAACTCTGAGTTCTTGCACAGGCACAACCTAGTATGTAGGATTCTACACCAGAAACTCGCTCTGAAATACGGTCTCGTGAAATTCAGCTCTTACAGACATCGACCCGCGCTCTCTACCAATGTTTAAATTGTCCCTCAGGTCAGAGGTTACCAAATATCCAAGATACTTACTTTAAATGTTCTACTCTCTTCAGAGATGCCACGCTAAGTGGACTTTTGTTTCTGGCCTAAAAGATCATATATTCACTTTTGCTTACATTGTATTTTAGTCCATGACTATACGGCATATTTCTCACAGATACCTAGCAATTTACTTAGGCCACAGATAGAGGTACTCAGCAGCACCATATCGTCCGCGTAGCTAACATCATTCAAACATACTTTTTCAATATGGAAGCCGACACGACCATTGCTGAGCTTCTCTATCAGTGCATTAATATACAAGTTGAAGAGTTTGGGTGAGGTCGAACCCCCCTGTCTCACCACGCTCTCTAACCCGTATGGCTCAGAAAAGGCACTCACATCGTACGACATTTATTTGGTTTGAATAGCAATATTTAAACATATTATTTAATTTCGGCCACAAAATGTCGTAGCTAACTAAGTCAAATATGGATTTAGATAAGTTTTACATTGTTAACACTTTCACTGTCCGATTTGCAGACACAATAGTAAGACAATAGCAATGACCTATATGTAGTGCACGGGACAGCGAAAGGGTTAAGCTACGCTGTGACAGCCTTAAAGCGCGAAAAACGTGTCGCCTCGGAAAGGGCAACGACGTACAACCAACGAAGCATCCATCTCAATACTCAGCTGTGACAACGCATCTGCATTTTGATTTTTAATCGTAAAAAGATATGTAGATAAGTGTGGTAACTACCCTTATTCTATAAAAATGCGATTTTATGTATAACACATATATGTATAATATGTATGTGCGCATGTAAACTATTAATAACGAAGAAACTAGGGAGGATAAATCTGGATATAATAGCGGATGAGAAAGAGAGGGTAAGCGAGTTGAATGATCAATTTGAAATTAATTTATGGTTCAAATTAAATGCATCGTAATTTCATAATCTATGCACTATGATGGCTATTAAAATATATAATAAATTACCCAATAACATAAAAGAAATGCCTTTGAATAAATTTAAAATTGAGATTAATAAATGGCTTCTTGACAAGTGTTATTATAGTATTAAGGAATATTTTAATTGATTGCAATATTATTAAATGTACTATATAATTTATTTATTTAGACATTATTTACAATTAAATTTGATTATTTTATGATATATTTGCACACCGGTACAACTCCCGGTAGAATATTATTGAGACTTTTAAATAAAACTAATTTTACGGATTTTATCGCGTATATTAACTTATTATATATTCCCGACGTTTCGGGCACTTTTCAGTAAAATTAGTTTTATTTAAATGTGTAGTGTTCGCGTAAATATAAGAAATCATTATTATTGAGACTTAGTCTTACCTATACTAAATACCTGAATTACCTAAACATTATATTCTGCAAATAAAGATTTTGACTTTTGACATTTTGGCACTTAAATATTAAATAAAAAGTAGTTTTGTGTGTAATTGTCGAATTTACAGATTATAAGTAGTATTTCTCTTTAAATACCTCCTACATTTGATTTAAGTTTGAGCTGGGATTTGGTCCCAGAAACTCTACGGTATACAGTCTAGCAATTATGCTTATAATTAACAAATATACTTAGGATCGCAACACGTTCCATCGCTTCGACAAGTTCAACGCGAAGTATAATCCGGTGGGCGAAAGTGTGTTGCGTGAGGTGTTCCTCAAGACTGACAATTATATGAACGGCGAGTATTTTGCTACAATAATCAAGGTAGGTATGTATACGTAATATTTTAACAGAGTAATAGAGTACTGTACTGTAACTCAAATAAAAATTGCGGTGATCAATCTGCGTACCAAGCTTGGCTACTATAGAATTTATCCCCACTATGAAGCAATCTATGGGGAAGGTCCAAAATTTCATTAATCGTCATTGGCCACTCATTTGGAATCGCCGCTTTGCAGGCTGGTGGATTGATAAATAACTAACGTCTACTATTTTACTACGCAAGCACTCATTTGTAACGGTCGCTCATTCGGCAAAAACGTTGTGAATTGAAGGAAATGTTCTAATTGAATCGCTTAATATATCAATCACATTCAATTTGGGATAATTTCAAACGAAATTAGAAACCTTATTTACTCCTGTTTTCAAAAACAACAATAACGGTATATCATTATTTATGATTTGAACTTAAATATAAAATTTGGACACTGTTTGAAAAATAACCCTGCAAAATATATATTTTTATTGACTATTATTCTACATTCGATAAACTTTTGGAAGCCTCGGAAAGTTCTCTACGCATTAACATCAGGAGGTGATAGCGGATTTGGCGGATAGCAAGTACACGTACGTGGAGCCGCGCCTGTCTATCTACTGCAAGCGTGCGGACGAGTGGAGCCGGCTGGCGAGCTGGGCCATACGCCACGAGATGCACTCGCCGCATGTTCGGTGGCTGGTGCAGGTGCCCAGGCTCTAGTTAGTGTTCACTTTTTATTGTCCTTTTACAGTCTTCCTTAATTCCTATCCCATTATAATTAGGTAAAAGTTGCTCAATATAACTACCATTACCATTATCAGTAAAAGTCCACTGCTGGACACGGGCCTCTTCCGCACCTTTAATGCTGCTCCCTGTCGCCGGTCTTGGTTAAGGTTCTCGAGTGACAGCCTCGTACTAACAAGCTAAGTATGGGCCAGCCCCCCAGATGAAGAACCGTTCTCGGAGAGACGATCTAATAAGACATGCAGGTGGACTATGACAAGAGGTGGAGGCAGCAGTGGACTTGGACGGGCTGTAATGAATAAGATGATGATGATTTTATTGATAAAAAACTTGATTATATATATGTATGTAGCTAACATCTACGACCCACGAAATAAATGATTGTGATTCTGATTCTGAAAAGTATATTCATATAATTTTTTTAGATATCTATTAATTATTAAAATTTATTTTATTTTTTATATTAAACTAGCTGACACCCAGCGAGTCGCTGCCGCAGTAGAAATAATTGTGCTATCGTTTGAAATTTGTAAGAGTTATATTGTTTATTTAGGAATGGTAATACGTTCATTGAAATGGAACGATATATAATTTTCAAATAAATCTGTCGGCACGATACTGCCGCACGTCATCATCGTCATTGCAGCCCTTCACAAATCCACTGTTGAACATAGGCCTCCCCCAAGGAATGCCACAAAACACGGTCCTGTGCCTACGACAGCCCACATCACGCGCACCTACTGTAAGTTAATTATTGTACTATGCCTATAACCTACCAGCAAGTGCAAGCAAAAAGTTGACAAAGTTTTACTGCAATCTGACAAACGTTACGGCAGCGCATAAAATATTTCTTATTTATTTTTTAATTGTTAAATGTTTGTTAGATAATTTTTATAATTTTTCTACTGGTAAAATAAAATTTCACTACAGGGCTTAGTCGTACACCTCTCCTGTTCTAGTGAGGTTTTGTTCTAATTAACAGTCACGCTTGTCAGACGGCTTGACTATCGCAGTACTGGACGTCTCGTACCTTTGACGTGACCCTTCTGCTCGTCGCTGGTATTTTATGTCTGTTTATTTTTATATAGAATATTTTTACAAACGAGCACACAGTTCACCTGATTGTAAGTAGTTGCTGTGACCCATAGACATGTACATTAATCCTCAATAAAGAATCAAAATGCAGATGCGTCGCCACCCATGAGGACTAAGATGGAAAAGAGGTTTATCGTAAAAAGGGTCTCTGGTTCTCTACTCTCACCATACGAAACACAGCAGCAATAAGCTGCCATTTTACGCTGGTGTTTTGTGAGAGCGAGGTCCTTACCCGGTCGAGCCGACCCATTCGTGTTACAATTATACTATTAATATAGCTGCAGCATGACTCTACCACGTATAAAGACGTGTAAACAAGATGGTTATACCACCGGTGGCTATAAGATTTTTCTGGCATCTCCCATAAGACTATGGGCTATATTCGCTCCTTATGACATCTAGGGCGAAATGAGATGATGGATTCTGTTATGTCATCACCACAAGGTAAATTAAATAACACTTGACAATTATCGACAATTTATACACTATTTATTATCAGATATCCACATAATAACATGCTAATACTATGTTAAAGAAAATAAAATTTTACACGTGGTAGAGTCATGCTGGAGTTATATTAATAGTATAATATAATTGTAACACGAATAGGTCTGCTCGACTGGAGAAGGAACACGCTCTCACAGAATACCAGCGTAAAATAGCAGCTTATTGCTGCTGTGTTTAGTATGGTGAGTGTAGAGAACCGGAGACCCTTTTTACTGGAAAGGAGGACTAATACTCACGGCTGAGAACGCATCTACATTTTGATTCGCAAACGGAGGATAGATGTCGTTGGGCCACAACAACCATTTACCATCAGGTGTTCTTATTTGTCACCCTTATTCTATAAAAAAAAATACTCATATAACCTTAGCAGTACGAAAGGTACACCTCGCGTTACAGTGCGTGCGTGCCTAAACTGAAAGAGGGGAGTTGTATTCTCCTGAGGAAACGCCAAGGGGTGGCTGACGTTAGTGGGACCGCGGATGTGAACAACAGGGGATTTTCAAGTTCGACATTTCCCGTACTTACCACCGCGAGGCGTTTAAAAAGGTGTTAATAGACTACAGTAGTCACTTGTCAGGTTTAAGTGATTTTAACCATAAAAAATTATAAAGAGAAAAATTAATTTAAAAGAACTGATCTTGCCTATGGAAATTAAGGGACAAAAGTTGTTAAGAAAAAAATTCTTAGGTGAAAATGTTGGAAACCCTGATGTATATAAACCTATGATAATTTAATAATAACCCCTTTTATTTCGTCCGCAGCGATATATACCGCAACAAGAGGCTGCTGAAGAACTTCCAGGAGTTCCTCAACAATCTGTTCGATCCGCTCTTCCAGGTGTCCATTGATCCCAGCACAAATATAGAGCTGCACAAGTTTCTCACGGTAATTTTTTACGGTATTTTCTTATAACATTGAAGTGACAAAGGAACTCACAGTCCACCTAATGGTAAGCAGCTACTGCAGCCGTGGATATCTGCACTAACTCGAAACAAAGAAGTCTACAGATGCGATGTCATCCATGAATACTTAGATGGAATGCCTCACCTATAGTTATACTGGCTCTCTATGGCTTTCAAACGTTGTTGAAATAGGAATACAGGGTGGACCTACCTAGTCGGACGTCGAGGCATAGAAGGAGTCGTACTACGTAGTGAAATAAAGTGAAATAGCGTTTTGATTGTTGAATATTACAACCTAACAGCAAATATATATATATATATATATATATATATATATATATATAGTGTGTGTGTGTGTGTGTGTGTGTGTGTGTGTGTGTGTATGTGTGTGTTTGTGCGTGCGTGCGTGCGCAGATACGACGCTTCGCGGGAGTAGAACCTTTTTATCGTTTACTCTTGATCTGGTCAGTATTATATAGTCGTGCCTACACACATACCTATATAAGAGATTTCCACCTATGTACTGACTCATCACGATATCTCTGGAACTATAAGGTCTAGAGACTTGAAATTTGGTAGGGATATACCTTTCGCCAAATAGAAGTCAGCTAAGAACGGATTTTACGAAATTCCGCCATCAAGGGGATTTGCGGGGGCGTTAATTAAAAAAATCACATTTTAAAATTTATGCCACACGAAGTGGTACACAGCTAGTAAATATAATAAAAGATATCTGAGAGTAAATGAAGCAATAATAATTGTAAAATAGATTCAAAATGTCAATCAATAACTTATTGTCTTTATCTCACGTCAACGAGTAGTATATACCGAGGTCTATATCGTCTCCGGGGAAATGTTGCTAGAAAGACGGTCAATAGAAACTTCTAAGCTTTACACTATAAGAACTTATGTCCAAAGACTTAGACGCTACTCAATTTTAAGATGTTAAGTCTCGTGATGTCACAGTCACTTTGACATAAAGTGATAGAAACAGCACAAGACAGAACGGCATTTTAAAATTGAGTAGCATCTGAATATTTGGGTATTAATTTGATAGAATTTGTAGGCGTAGAACTTAGATAATTTATTTATTTATTACGTTCGTATTTCTATACACTCTCTTAGAACGTGTCTACACACGGCGATGTTATCGCGGCGGTGCGACGAGTGGCTGAGTGCAAGCGAAACGTCATCGTATCGTCGCGTGCTCGCCACGTGACGTAGTGCTCTCGCAGTGAGTGCGTGGCGAACGCGCTGTCAAACGCCGCCTGCATTTTACAGCGCGCAAAACTGTTGCACTACGCTTCATCGCGGAAACGTGGCGATTCCGTTACGAGTCGCGACGATACGCTGGCGAAATAATAGCTCGTTCGTGGAGAATACCCGACGATAGAAGCGTGGACTCGTCGCAATTCTCTCGCTCGTGGAGGCGGTCCCTTAGTCCTTTTACTTAAATACATACTGTTTTACACTAATTGTATACTTTGCATTGTATTTGTAAATTATTATAACATTATATAATGTTTTTAGCACGTGATCGGCTTCGATAGCGTGGACGACGAGTCGAAGCCCGAGAACCCGTACCCAAACGAGACCATGAAGCGGCCAGACAAGTGGGACGACGAGGAGAACCCGCCCTATGCGTACTATCTGTACTACATGTACGCCAACATGACCGTGCTCAATCAGATACGCAAGTGAGTATCCACTATCACCGCTTCTTTAAAGGCCCCATTGCCGTTATACTATTAGCGATTGGTGAATATCTGAGTTTGGAGTGCTCAGAGAAATAAATCTGACGCGATACCATGCATACTAACCTAGTCTGAGCCAAAGATTCCTTCCCCGAACGATTTTTTATAGAATCGGTTACCACCAGCTATCTCTTAGGCCAGATACGACTTAGGAACCTTAAAAGAAAAAAATGCAGTTGTTTATGGGCGGCGGTAGTCACTTACCATCAGCTGAGCCACATGCTCGTTAGTTGCCCTCTTCTATAAGATTTTTTTTAAATAGTATCCATGCGAGCTTATGACTTTAGCGACATACTTTATTAGGGTAGAGTTCCGTTCTAGGGACACCTCCCATTTGGAGCAAAAATTTTTTTACATGTTTACCAACATAAATGATGAAAAACTCCAAAGGGACTTTTGGCGCAAATGCCCCTGAATGTTTTTACGATATTTTTTCTTTCGATTTTACGACAGTGATTGGACGAGCTTGAAAGATGGAGGGAAATAAAATTATTTTTAATAGAATTTTCATTGAAAGTCATTTTACTTTACCACTGATTCGAGAAAAAAAAAACTTTTTTAAAGTTAATTTTATATGAATGGTTGTACAAACTATTGTTACGAGCTTAGGATTCGAGATAATTAAAACCTGCCGAGTGAATTACCAAAATTGACTATTTAATTACACAACACTAATTACAACTTAAAATCACACTAATAATAAAACACAGTTCGCCGTTGTTTCGCTTCGAAGTATTCTCTTGTATCGCCAATTCAATACTGCCCCGGTCGTGGTCTATACCGGCCTTATATAGGGCCTCAGATAGTTTCCCGAACCTTCTACTGTAGCGACATCTAGAATGTTCGAGTACATATCGGTCCCGAAATTTCTGGAAGGATCTCGACTCTTCTAGTTCTGCTACTCGACACTAGAGGGCGCTAGTGTACCTAGTGTTGCCATGTACAAGACATTAATATTGGCGCGCAACACTCGACACTAGAGGGCGCTAGTGTTACTAGTGTTGCCATGTTCAAGACATTAATAGTGGCGCGCAACACTATTTACAAAATTTACTTTAGAAACAGCTTGGAAGCGACCACCTCATTCCCAGGGGTTATTATTAACCATGTATTCATTTATATTATAATAGCCCTTTTTATACAATTTTTGTTTAGTAAAATATTTAAACTTGGTAATAGAGAGATCTTGTATATTTTCTGGGACTTTGTTGTAATAGCGAATAGATTGCCCAACAAATGAATCACGGACTATATTGATTCGAGAAACTGGTATCACTAGCTTGTGTTTGTTCCTAGTGTTTACAGAGTGTATATCACTTTTTTTACTAAAACTTCCTTTGTTTTTGTGAACATACATTAAATTTTCGTAAATGTACTGAGAGGCCAAAGTTAATATATTTATTTCTTAAAATTTTTATCTAAGAGAATCTCTCGGTTTTATGTTGTAAATAGCTAATGGCCCTCTCTTCTGTAAAACAAAAATAGTTTCTAAATCAGCCGCATTACCCCATAACAAAGGCATTATGCTATGCCCCTTAAGACATTACGTTATGGAAATAACTCGATGCTATGGAAATAACTGACACCGTAACACCTCTGCGACATTATTTAATCAAATGATAATGCGTGTTAGGCGAAGTTTGTTTTGTTTGTTCGTTTAGACACCCATATGATTATATCAACGATTCTATCTCTCATGTCTTCTATCTATCGATATCGATGTATGATATCTATCTCACGATATCTTCTCTTTTTCATCAACCCAGAATCCACTGCTAAACATACCTATGTCTTTTCTATAATGCACTAAACGAAGTCTTGCTTATAAATTTGGCCATATTTACCTCACTGGACAGGCGGGTGATTGGCTCATAGTCGATCTTTCTTCTGATAAATCTACACCCTAACACTAATCGGTGTGCTTTATCGTATTCTTCATCAACTCTCCTCTCCCTAATATGATTAGGTAATTCTACGTGAAATATGATATCAAATTATGACTAACAAACTTTTGAGAGTTAAGAAGGCCTTGAACAAATCAAACTAAGTTTTAAATGCAATGCCAGGGAGCAGGGCCTTAACACGTTCGTACTGCGACCGCACTGCGGCGAGGCGGGACCGAATGCACACCTCAGCGCCGGCTTCCTACTGGCGCAGAACATATCGCATGGGCTCATGCTGAGAAAGGTCTGCACATTTTTAGCATTGAAGTAATAAATACTACGTACTAGAAGAGACGCCTAGACTTAGTTTGCAATATGCGCTTAGAGCCCGCGCACTCAAACTTACTTAGTCTGTGTCATAAAAAGGGTTCCGACGACTCTATGTCTCCGACCACGAGCCCAACAATGCCGCACAGATTTTGTTCGTGGTGTCTGTTCTAGTACGTAGTATCTGCCTATAGTAATAGTACTGCCTACTAATACATATTAATTCAATTATTTTTACCACTACACTACATTGAAGGGGATTAATAAAACTAATACCATTCAATGAACACTGCTCTTTCCTTATATAATTTATTTACTTAAACTTTTGACCGTATAAACAGATACAATATGTAGACTTAATGCTATAAACATTTTTTACCTGTCAACTTTTGGGAATAACCAAAACCTTAAAAGTTCTACATCATTGACATGAATCACGAAACTTGTGAAACATGTATAATAATGACGTAAGATGAATTTAATGTGCATGCATGGTTAATGGACAGTAAATAGACAAAAATGTAAAATACATTATCGTTACCTTAACAGCCTATCAAAAGTTTACTGCTGACCATAGGCCGCCCACATAGATTGCCTCATAGGGGGACACTTATCACGAATCACGATGTACCTTTTTCTTGTACGATATGATTGAAGACAATATCAGACACGAGACAGTATCAGACACAAAGATAATCACGATTAAACAAAAGTGTTTGTTGTTTCAGTAGAGCCATACATCATAAAGAAACTAAGTATGTGATGTTCGCCATACATTAGGTATGGGTTGCGTTTTGGCGTATATTCATGTACCTTGTAAAAATAAAAAGTTGTACTGAGAGGTCATAATGACACATAACATTACGATTAACAGAACTTTTTTAAATTTCATAGGTATATACTGTAAAGAAAAAGAAAACAGAGATTTCACGTCAACATTCAACTTTTAACGATAGTTCAACAACTCTATTCGGTTACTTATGTGGAGTGATACGCGTTACGTTCAATCGAATTATTTAAACAATGTATTTTAAATGAAACTATTTTTTTACGGATTTTATGGCGTTAATTTAACTTTTTAATTCCCGACGTTTCGGGTGCTTTACAGCACCCATGGTCACGGGGTGTACTGAGGTGTTTGACGTCCCGATGTCATAGTTAGCCCAGCTACCTTCAGTTTTTGAATATTAATTATTGGTCCGATCTACACAGAATGAGCTTATATTATCTCGAAGTCTTGCAATGGTATGCTTGGGTTTGGATTTAATTTTATTAATTATAGGATCCCAAGCAGATAGCAGCACCCATCCATCTTCTCTATTGAAATTAGGATGTTTTTTTTTAATTTCAATAGCCTCGCGAATTATCCTTGGTAAGAATCGGTGTTCTTTTGCGGGGGATTTGTGGTCTATCAAACCTAATGTAATGGCGGGGACGATCTAGAACATGTTCACACACTGCAGATTTCCCGGAACGTCGGTGCTTCAAATCGTTCCGGGAAGTCTGCAGTGTGTGAACATGTTCTAGATAGTCCCCGCCATTACATTAGATTAGATTTTAAAAAGTTAAATTAAACGCTATAAATCCGTAAAAATTTGTTTCATTTAATGTGTAGTCTTCGCGTAAATATAAGAAATCATTTAACAATGTACTTTACAAGGGAAATTATTGTTTCACTGTCTTTATTTAGGTTCTTAAACTGTTACATTTTGCCATGTATAGTTGATTTTGTTTTATGTGTCCTCAGTTCCCGGTGCTGCAGTACTTGTACTACCTGGCGCAGATCTACATCGCGATGTCGCCACTGAGCAACAACTCTCTTTTCTTGCGTTACCATCGCAACCCGCTGCCGGATTTCTTCGCACGGGGACTTTGCGTCACGCTTAGTACTGACGATCCATTACAATTTCATTATACAAGGGTAATTAATATTCAATTTTTTTTTTAATAAGATAAGGGTGACAAGCGAGCACAAAGTCCACCTGATGGTAAGTGGTTGCTGTGGCCCATAGACAACTACATCTAACCTCGTTTGCGAATCAAAATGCAGATGCGGTCAGCCGTGAGGACTAAGATGGCATGCCTCTTTTCCAGTAAAAAGGTCTCCGGTTCTCTTCACTCACCATATGAAACAAAGCAGTGTTAAGCTAAAAAAATTAAAGCAGTGTTAATTTACGCTGTAATTCTGTGAGAGCGTGGTCCTCCCCGATCTATATACAATTATATTCGTGCTACAACTATACAATTAATATAGCCGCAGCATGGCTATATTAATAGCAAGTAAGAGATTTTATTGTAGTCAGATAATTGGTAAAATGAAAATATTTATTTATTTTATAATTACATATTTTTTCTTGTAATCATTAAAATAGACATAGGTACATAATAAATTTCCGTATTATAAAAAAAAGACTATCAGATAAATGTCTATGCACTTGAATTGTCGTAATTAAAGTGGAAGATAGTGGTGCAGAAAGACAATTTTTTCTTCATTTTCATGCAATAGTTTACTCCTTTTGTTCTCGTAGACAATCCCAGCTTCAGAGAATAGACGCTCTGAAGAATAAACACTACTTACTTCCCGGCCGAATAATTTTGCCTAATATTGGGTCAGAAAGTCCAGAATATTCGGCGTTCGGCGTGAGGCCGAATATTCACGTTGTAGAGCCATGCTGCAGCTATATTACACGTGGTAGAGCCATGCTGCAGCTATATTACACGTGGTAGAGCCATGCTGCAGCTATATTACACGTGGTAGAGTCATGCTGCAGCTATATTACACGTGGTAGAGCCATGCTGCAGCTATATTACACGTGGTAGAGCCATGCTGCAGCTATATTACACGTGGTAGAGTCATGCTGCAGCTATATTACACGTGGTAGAGCCATGCTGCAGCTATATTACACGTGGTAGAGCCATGCTGCAGCTATATTACACGTGGTAGAGTCATGCTGCAGCTATATTACACGTGGTAGAGCCATGCTGCAGCTATATTACACGTGGTAGAGCCATGCTGCAGCTATATTACACGTGGTAGAGCCACGTAATGCTAATTGCTGATTTTGTTTTTATGTAAAGAAATTTACTAAGAAAATACTGTTATTTTATTAGTCTATGAATTAGTTGAGTTTTTAATTTACCGTGGACCAGGATCAAGTTATATAAAATGTTACGGTATTATTCGAGGAATATAAATTAAGTTAAGGGGCTACTCCATGCGACCGACCTTGAGCATTTGACCGGCGCGCCGCTCGCTACAATATATTATTGTGTAAGAAATATGTAAGACGCCACCTATTGTACGAACGTAGTATTATTTTTTCAACATCAATAAACTATTTTATGGAAATACAAACAGCGTACAAAGATAAATGTATTTTAATTTTTTTATTAGGTATATATTAGTTGCATTATATTAGAATTACGTATTTTCATATATTATCTAATTATGAAATTTTATAATTAATTATATATTAAAAATGAAGCATTGAAAATTGTGAGTTTAAAAGATACCTATCCACTATAGGTAAATAAATAGATAGCTCGTCTTTTGTATAAATATTTGGTGCAATAAAAAATAAATAAATAAATAGGATGTTTCGCAGATGTATTTTTGATTATTGTTAATTTTTACGTGTCACGTATTGAAAAGTAACATACCTACCTACTAATTTTTGAACTGAGCACCTTGTAACTTAGCCTGCTTATTACTTATGCTGGCAGACATTATCCTCACCCCAATGATTGATGAGGATGAAAATCAATTTTATTTCTACAAACGTAATTATATTTATTTATACATAACGGTAACTTTAATAAAGGTAATACAAAAATCAACAAGAAGTATAAGGGTTCAATCTTTCAATTTCAATTGCAAAAAAACGTTACCCCCACACTAGGATTTTCTCCTGTGTCGTGGAGGCAGTTTACAAACATAAATTGCACAAGGACAGACATCCAGACCCGGAACAATTATTTGTAGGCCATACAAATACTTGTTCCGTGCGGGATTCGAACCCGCGGCCCCCAGCGCAACAACTGATTGCTAAGTCACTGCGCCACGGAGCCGTCGCCGGGTTATAGCTAAAGTGACCATACGTCCCGTTTTGAACGGGACTGTCCTTTTTCTCGGTCACCTGTCCCATTGTCCCCAAACAAAGCTCCGGGACACAAAATTGTCCCGTAACTCGTTGGATGGAAGTATTCAAAGTCAACAATCTTCAACATAATTTTTTTTAATCGAACATATTTTATGTCTCCCTGGTACAAATGCTCCAGTAGAAAGAGTATTTTTTTATTTTGAATAAATTGTGGACGTCTGAAAGAAACACTTACGGTTCCAGTTCTAAAGGCGATGTTGTTAACAAAGGTAACAATAAAAAAACTTGAGCAGAATTTTATTCTTATTTAAAATCATCACCAACTTTATTAAAGCAAATTTAATCCACTGACAAATGTAATTAATAATTAAAAAAAAATATGTTGCATTTAATAATTACCGTCTATACCGAATATAATTTTATATTGAACACTAATTGTATAAAGTTATAGTTTTTAGAGTATAAATAAACCCATGTCCTGTTTTGAGTTAAAAAATAAATGGTCAGTTTAGTTTTTTTTAGTTAAATATGGTTTTAAAAAATTTTAGTTTATAGTAAAAAGTAGGTATATTAATACCTACTTAGATACTTTTTACCGAATTAGGGTAGAAGACCCTAATACCAGACAAAGAAATAAATAAGATTTCTAGTAGTCTTAACTAGAAATATTGACAACTAAAAAATTCTTTGTACCTAGAGGAAAGTATATTTATTCAAATATTACCTCGCAGTTTTAAACCTAACAGTGTTAAAATCAAAACAGGTACGCAACGAAAAACGATCATTTTCCTAATTATTTGACAAGTTATGTTCCCGGTAAAATTATGCTTACTTTACATTATCTCATATATATGCTTTTTGATTTGTATGAATATGACTATAGACATAGTAATGCAGTTATTTTTGTTTGAATTTACAAGTTATTTATTTTCTTTTAGTGGAAATTAATGGGGCTGTAATTAGATAATATAAGAAATGTATGAAGTGCATAATGTCAGCCGCCCGGCTGTTATTTGGTTTGACGTACCTAATAAGAAGTACCTAATTTCAGCCACGTAATATAAATCAGGGCTGCCATAAACTGGAATAAATACCATTAATTAGATCATAACTTATTTTATAGCTAAGGGAGTTATGATCAATTCGTCTGTTTTAAAATTGGTTTTAGATTTTAAAGTTTAACAAAAGATGTACTAGCTTTTCTCTCTGACATTTGGCGTATAGAACATCTTATGTACTCAATTATTTTTTGAAAAAGAAGAAAAAAACAAGCAATAAATAATATACTATATTTTAGAAAAAAACTATAACTTAGTAATACTAATTATAACTTAGAACATAAATGAAAAACTCATAACTGACTTTTTGGCCCGACCCGGGATTCGAACCCGAGACGTCATGATCAGCAGTCGCACTACTACAACCACTAGACCAACGAGGCGGTACTATACCTAATAAGATATTGTGGTTGAGTATTAGGATTATTTTTAACTGTATACTATACTGATAATATTGAATTAGCCTTTTATAGTGTAAATTATAATATTTGTCGAAATGTTAATTATGGATTCGAACCTTACATGCTAATGGTGCTTCATTTTTTTATTTGCATTTACTTCAAAGAAAATACACGCAAAAAGCTTCATCGCGCAGTAAAAAACACAACAAATATATGTATGACTAATACGAAAAATTATACCCAAAACAAACAAATAATACTACCTATAAATAACCGAGAGGTCAATCGACGGATTCAACTCGGCTGGGCAGCGTTCGGGAAGCTACGACACATCTTCTCGTCAGACATACCTCAAAACCTTAAAACGAAATTGTACAACCAGTGCGTGTTGCCAGTGATGACTTACGGAACTGAGACGTGGTCCTTCACTGCTGGCCGTATGAGGAAGCTCAAGGTCGCTCAGCGAGCTATGGAGAGGGCTATGCTCGGAGTTTCTCTGCGTGATAAACTTAGGAATGAGGATATCCGCAGTAGAACCAGAGTGACCGACATAGCCCAACGGATTAGTAAGCTGAAGTGGCAGTGGGCCGGCCATATAGCTCGAAGAACCGACAACCGATGGGGAAGAAAGGTTCTCGAGTGGCAGCCTCGTACCGGTAGGCGAAGTGTAGGGCGTCCCCCCACGAGATGGAGTGACGACCTGGTAAGACATGCAGGAAGTCGATGGATGCAGGTGGCTCAGGACCGTGCTTTGTGGCATTCTTTGGGGGAGGCCTATGTTCAGCAGTGGACTTGTGAAGGGCTGTAATGATGATGATGATGATGATAAATAACCTAATAAGTAATAATATTATAATATTATCGACTGATAAGATTACATGAGCGTGTGCGCTGGCAGACGCTCTAACGACACGAGTTCCACGTGTAAGAGCTCAGCGCTCACTGACTCCAGCAAGCCCGTGGGCAGTGAATACACCCAGATTTTAAAATAATTTCTTAATAAAATCAAATTTTGGGCTTTTGAAAAAAGTTTATAATAGAAATGTTCACTAATAAATTGCCTATCCATTGGTGTAAATCGCAAAATAAAATAATACTTACTTTACGAGGAGATGCATGTTATCAATAATAATTTCACATTTATGTGGTTTCGTTGTAAGGAATTTATATATATATATATATTTATTTATTTTTTAAAATTTGGATATAGCTTTTATGGAATCAAGATTATGTAGAAATATAATGTGTTTTTTATTTGTTGATATATCTTTTAAATAAAAAGTAGATAGCTCCTAAAAACCGCACAAATAACGACTAACGCGACATTTTGCTCTACCTGCGCCTTAAAGTAGAAATTATTCGGTGGCTCTATTTCTCTCTATTTTATTATCGCAAGGCTTCGTTATACTCAGGTGTAAACACACGTACTAACACACATACAAACATACACACGTGGAACGCTTGGACCAGAGCAAGTAATAACACAGAATAAATAATAGTACAAGAAGTAATAGGCAGTGTAAAATAGATAATAAGTCGAGGAAAAAGTTTCATCATATGTTTGAATTGAAGAAAAATCTCTTTGATTGTACTGTTTGTATCTGGATGGTTTTAAAATCAATACATATATTTATATTTAAAAATACAGGAACCATTGATGGAGGAGTACAGTATAGCGGCACAAGCGTGGAAGTTGAGTTCTTGCGACATGTGCGAGCTGGCGCGCAACTCTGTGCTCATGTCTGGGTTCCCGCACGAGGTTTGTTTGGTTTGACAAAGTCCTTGTATCCTTTATTTATTTTTACACTCGTCTAATAAACGAATATGTCGCAATAAAATAACTAAAGATATAACTAAGAAAATAAAAATATGCATTAAACAAAGTAGCAACTGTTAAGGGTCATGGATGTTAAATTAGACATAATGTACATATTATAATAGTGATCCAATTTTTAGGGAAAGTATTAGTAGTAGTAGTAAGTACTGTCGATATTATGAATAATATCGACAGTAGGCAACACATTACAGAGTGAATTATAGGTGTCAAACATTCGTGATACGGGGGCGTATAACTTTATGTTAATCCTGGATTGATTAGAGTATGAACAGAGGGAGAATATTAAGTACGTATTTAAAAAAATTATAATACAAATAGTTGTTTTTTTTTTTACATTTATTGATTTCGCTAAAGAAGCTCGTAAAAGTTTACAGCTGGAAATGGGATTCTCCCATTCCAGGTAGGGTTTGCCTTAATATTCATACTCTGTAAAGATTTCTGTCTCGCACCTTTGCTGCTGCTTTCAGTCGCCTGGCGTATGTACGCACGTAACGAGTATGTGTACGGTCTACAATTGTTCCGGGTCTGGATGTTTGTCCTTGTGCTACAAAGGGCTATAGTTATTAAGAATGTAAGAGGGTAGTACTTTTTCAGATGGACTACTATGTGGGAAGGGGAGGGTCCCTTTAGATTTTTAAATTAGATTTAAATTTTATGTGTCGCGTAGGTTTGTGTAAGGTTGTGTTTAGAAAGTTAATAGCGGTGTGTGCAACTGTCAGATGAAGCAGCGGTGGCTGGGCGCTGCGTACGCGCGGGCGGGCCCGGCGGGCAACGACATGGCGCGCACCAACGTGCCCGCCGTGCGCCTCGCCTACAGGCACGAGACGCTGCTGCACGAGATGCGCAACCTCTTCGCGGTTAGCGCACGCTTGCCTTCACTTTCAACACTTTTTAAAGTGAATACTTCTTTATGCCTCCTCTACACTACTCGCGAAGTAACTTTGACGAAGTGCTCATCGACGTCGATCGCAGTCCGAAGAACGTGACTGCACACTCGTACTACTTCGCGAAGAGCTCAGTCATCTTCAGTCTCCCGCACCCGTAACATGAATAACGTTCAAGAGACAGCTGCTATATATACCTAATTGAGTGAACAGTACGACGTCAATGCATTAACTAAACAAATAATTATGTAGAAAACTACAAATTTAATAATATATATATATATATATAGTGAGACGCTTCGTGTAACTTCGAGGTACTTCGCGAAGTCCTGTGACTCTGGCGCAAAAAACCGACAGCGATCGGAGATCGCCCGAGGCGAAGCGAGGATGCACGAAGCGAATCGAAGTACCTCTCTACACTATTCGCCTCGTCCAACTTCGATCTACTTCACGAGTAGTGTAGAGGAGGCATCACAATCGTTCTCGATGAAATGAAAAAGCGACACTAAAAGAAACAAACATAGGTACATCTATAGAATTTATCCTGCGAGAGAATGAGATAGAACACAGTTTACAGTGTTTATTTTTATCTCTATCTCCTTTGTAGGTTCCACTTCTAAATCTCTGTAATAAATGAATGAGTGACTAATGCTACTCAGTTTTAAGATGCTGTTAAGTCTCGTGCTGTCTCTGTCACTATTGTGGTGTCACAGTCAAAGTGACTGCGACATCGCGAAACTTAACGACATATTACAATTGAGTGGCGTTTGAGTATTTGGCCATAAATCCTTAAAATAAATGATACGTTCTCTATATCATTTTATTGACATCTTAAATACCATGAGTGACTCACGTCGGATCTTTGTAAGAGGTGACAGTGAGAAACTGAAACAAAAAATGAGCAGCTGCATCTTCCTTGGTAACAACTAAAAATAACAAGCGCTGTAATGATGGTGATGATAAAATACTACCGGCAGTCTTATCACTTTTAAGGTGATTTAAACAAACTTTACGTAGAGGACTGATGAAATCAAAGAAAAAATTAGGAAGTATTTGTACTATATAAAACAGGAAGTATGAGAGCCGCGATAACTCACGGGCTAAGTGCTCGCTGTAAACTTCACAGTACGCGAGCAGCCCGGGTTCGATCCCCGCCGGCACCAATGAAATTGCTCGGAGGTGATGGAAAACTTGAGATGTGAAATTCGCCAACACGCATTGGGGCAGCGCGGTGGACATTTTATTGCTCTAAAACTCGCTCAGAAATGAGAGGAGGTCTGTATCCAGCAGTGGGACGTATATAGGTTAAAATATTACAGCTACAATTGTACTTTTGCCACGACATATCAGCAACCGCTGTTTTTTTTTTATTTAACATTGTTATCGAAAAATGTTTTTGCTCATCCCTTGTTTAATTCTATCCGTCACCTTTTTTGACACACGGGATGATATGGCATAGTGTATTCTCTTAGGCCATCAAGATATGGAGTCGTATCATATTTACGTTATCTTATTTTTCATAATCAATAATAATTTTTTCGCGTCCAATAAAACAATATTCAATGTCGGGCTAAAGTACTGTTAGCCAAGCATCCATATGAACTAACTTTGAAACTTTACTCGACTTTATTAGTTATATTTTACAATAATAAATGATATAATAATCTATTTTATCAACATATGTAAGAAACTCGTCCCACCGCCAACGATGAACGAGAAGCGAGTAGAGCTAGAAACTAGATAAGAGTTGGCGAGCAGCAGGGAAGCTAGTGTGCAGTTCCGATAGTTTTATCACTGGTCTATAAGCGAGTGCACTCAGATCCGCACTGTAGAGTAAAAATGAGCGCTGGTTTGTCTCTCGGCGTGAGTTCTGACCGCTAGATACCGACGACCGAAATGTCACTCACAAACGCTACATAATCACCTAGTGCCATAAACACAATTAGAACAACGGACGGCATGCAGAGAGTATGCAGACGGGCGCATCGCACCCCCTCCACCCCGCGTACACAGCGTACCCCCGCGTCCCGGAACATCGAACGATACCACTTAGCCATCAGAGCCAGGGGTGGCCGATAATTCATCTACGTGTACAGTAGAGCAGTGTAATAATATAAATTCACCCCATTTTAGCCCTGACACCAATGAAGCTATAAAAGCCAAAAGGCCTAACAACAAGCGAACATCGCTGAGCGAGTTTTATCTTTAACTAGCTGTTTCCCGCGAATTCGCCCGCGTGGAGTTATTTTTCGCGGAACTCTAAAATAATCTATCCGCCAGTGTGTATAAATATTGACAAATATTGACATTAATATTTATACGATACTAACGTCACTCAATTGTTTTGCCTTCCCGGAACCCCCCACTAACACTTAAACTGTATGGTATGGTATTAAAGTTCAAATTGACTTAAGTATTATTACGAATCTTTTGTATGGGAATATAGAAAAGTGTTGTTTTTAGACTTTTTCAGGCAATTTTTTAAATTTTTCTCTGCGTAAGAACCATCTCCGTACTTCAAGGAATATTATAAAAAAAGAATTAGCGAAATCGGTTCAGCTGCTCTCGAGATATGCGCTTAGCAATACATTCAGCGATTCATTTTTATATTATAGAATAGATAGATCTTGATCGTCGGCAGTGTGATCGGCCAGCGGTCAACTATTAATATATGTATCTCTTTTATTGATATCTATTGTTCGTTCCTTGAGCGCGAAAATAGTCGATAGCTAATCGCTTCCTTGCCAGCGTTGGGACTGTGCCTAGTGCCTAAAACAAAAATATTTTGTTACTATTGTCATGATATAGTTGTTTTTTTTTTCAGGGGGACAAATAAAATGAAAAGTGATTTAGTAATCTTCATTTGGTGTGTATATTTACATATAAACAAGAACAACTATGACTACAACAATGTACATATTTGACTAATATAAATAATTACTTAAATTAACAGTTTTTAATTCTTTACAACGTAATTTATTTTCCATTCCGTTTAATAAAACTTTGAGTTGTGTTGGTTTGCCTCATCGCTCGCTTGAATTACTTAGCAAGCAATTCGCCTGTAAATTTAGGTGCCGGAACCTCAGTATATATTTAAATCTGATTGGCCATTGTCTGCCGATGGCGAAGGAACTGTTTGGGGGTTGAGCCCTAAGTCTCTTTATATCAGACTTCAAAAAAAGTAGCAAGTTTAAAATTCGAATATTATATGTACGTTTTCTTTTTTTTTTTGTACGTATGATACGCGATATCTTCGTCAATGGTTAACTAAATTTGATGATTCTTTTTTTTTATTAAATAGGTTCTACTTTAAGGGTGGTCCCATATAAATTTGGAAAGAAAATTGACCCTTAAAGTCGCAAAATAGTAGATGAATTTTTTAATGTAACTGTTCAGCAACATTGAGATTGTGATATTTCTTAGTCCACTCAAAAGAGTCAAAAATATCTTTAAATATAAAGTAAAAGCAGACTTCGAAGACGCAAAGAACAAAAAATAATAAAATTACGCTGTCTTAGCACCGATTTCAGAATGTGAAACTATTTCTTGAATTAGGTAGTCTGTTCACTTAGACAGTAATAGTCTGTTCACTTAGAGGTCGCCTTTGTGTCGCGCCTCCTCGGCACGTGCCGCATCTTGTTAAAAGCGCCGCCGCGACAATCTTTCCAATTGCGGCGTACACCCCCGCAGGAGAATTTAGCATTTTAAAGCGAAACGCCGCGCCGTAGTGAAAGGTTGTTTTTGTTGACTCTGCTACGTATATAGAAAATGTTTTTTCGTCGTTCGGAGGACAGCGAAGTGTCCTCAAGATGAAATTTTAAGTGAACCAATAACTAAAATACTATTTTAACGTCATCACGTTCTGAATCCGTATGGATTCAGAACGTGATGACGTTGGATGCCTTATTATAAATACAGGAGGCAATGATTCCGACACTTCGATTGATGAAGAATATTGTCATATTTTTCATTTAAATTCTCTTTGCTACCTAACTTGTGTTTACTATTTATAAAAATATTACGCATTTTGTTAGAAAAGAAACATTTATTTAACTAACGCAGTAAAAAATTATAAAATAAAAGCAAAATAGCATGTGGCGCCTCCTGGTGTACCGACACTATCTTAGTGAACAGACAATATTTATTGAAAAATTAATACGTGACTCTTTGTATTCTTCTAAAAACCGGTGACATCTTTGATGGCTTTCTCCTCGTCCTGGGGCGACATGTGCCGGTGCGAGTGGAACTCCATGCTGAAGGTGGCCAGCCCGGAGCTGAGTGAGCGCAGTGTCGTCGAATAGCCCAGCAGCTCTGACAGAGGGGCGATACAATCCACCACCTGAAATAAAGTGTATATTTATTACGGATCGCCGTAATGCCGTGCGAAAAATGGAATAAAATGCGCTGGTCTTGCTTTTAACTGGAGGCAAGCGGCGGTGAGGAGGAACTTGTACTTTTTCTTTTCTTGCTGGTGCCTTTTCGGTGGCTGGAGAGCGACTGCTGACCCTAGCGGCCGGCCCGTCTTTTATATGATTTATGTGCCTAACGGCCTAATATATTTATTATATAATAAAGTAAACATTTATTATATTTAACAATTATAGTTTTCATTAGAAGACTATGCTAACTCTCCCTGTTCATACGGTGCCTTTATTTGGGAGAGTTATTGCACAGTTACAACTCAACCTTAAACTTAGTTATAATACAATCATTATTTTTTATCGTTCGATACAAGTAATACAATTATTTACACAAATTATAATTTAAATTCAACATAAGGTTGCGCTAGTTCCGCCGTATAACCCTTGCTAGTTGTCGAACCAGAGGCGTGGCCTGATAATTACACCGTCGTCCTGGCTCCGCCCACCGCTCCTAGGTTGTTCAACTAGTGCCGGTTACAATAAGCATTTTCTTTCGTTTGTTTAATATTGTTGCGTCGTGCACATTCTCCCGCCGTCGCCACGCTGCGATCCCTCTGGTAGCACGACGATCTTCTTCGTTGGTCTTCTTAGTATGTGCCCACTGCCGGTGGTTACGTCCACTACTCGTACCTCTCCGTCGACGCCAGGATATACCTTACTTATTTTCCCTCTGGGCCAGGTGTTGCGTGGTAGATTGGAGTCACAAATGATGACTAGGTCTCCAATCTTCGGCGATACTCCTATGCTGCTGGGCTCCCGCCGGTGTTGGAGTAGGGGCAGGTATTCTTTAACCCATCTTCTCCAAAACACGTCGGCTAGGGCTTGAGCTCGTTTCCATTGCTGGCGGGCCGTCACGTCATTCTTGCTGAAGTGTCCCGGCGCAGGTACGTGCGAGTTGGGACCGATGAGGATGTGATTCGGCGTGATGGCTTCAGGGTCTCCTGGGTCGACTGAGACGTGTGTGAGAGGTCTGGAGTTTACAGTATTTTCGACCTCGGCGAGCAGGGTCCCCAATGTTTCGTCACTGGGATAGCGCTCGTTGAGGGTGACGCGTAGGGCTTCTTTTACGGAGCGAACCATTCGCTCCCATACGCCGCCCATGAACGGTGCTGATGGCGGTATGTACTTCCACACAATCTGTTGACACGTGGTTTCGTGCTCGAGGGCTGCGAGTGCTGCTTCGGCCATCTCCTTGTCTGCTGTCTTGAAGCACGTAGCGTTGTCACTCCATATTTCTTTTGGGCATCCTCTTCTGCTCATAAAACGCCTAAGTGCCGACACGGCTGAGTCTGCGCTCAACGAGTGGGCTACTTCTATGTGTATTGCTCGCGACGTCATGCAGGTAAATAACGCGCCATAGCGCTTTTCGCGATGTCGTCCCACTGTGACTTCTATTGGCCCGAAGTAGTCTAGTCCGGTGTATGTGAACGGACGTGCGTGATGAGCGAGGCGTGCGGACGGCAGGTTTCCTGTAGACGGTGATGCAGGCTTGGCTTTTCTTAGACGGCACGGCAGGCATCCTTTGACGACAGTTTTCACTACTGGACGTATTTTTCTTACGTACAATCTCTGTCTTAATTCATTCACAACTGTTTCCACGCCTCCGTGATGCAGCCTCTCGTGTACGTGTGCTATGTACAGGCGAGTGTATGCGTGCTTCCCGTCTAATATGGGAGGGTCGTACATGTCGTCCTCCACTTCTGATGCCGCTTTTATTCGACCTCTGAGGCGTAGGGTCCCCTCTTCATCAATGTATGTGCTCAGGTGGCCTAGTTTGTCGTCGCCTCCCGGAACACTTCCGCTGGTGATTCTCTTGAGCTCCTTCGTGAAGCTTTCCCGCTGACTGGCTTGCACCCACAGTTGTTCGGCTCTCATATGATAAGCGGCCGGTATTCCTACAAGCGATGAGGCAGTAGGAGTCGCCTTTTTCTCCTTGGCGGGGGTGTTGCGTTTGTTTGTTCTCTGCCAGCCAGGGTCGCTACCTTGTCTTGCTTTGTTGCGTTTACGCCCAGCCTTCACTACGTGCTTGTTTGGTCTGCACATGTCGATGAATAGGAGGACTCTCGCTGTCGCCCTTATGAGGCGAATCCATTTAGAAAATCTTCCTATCTGTGGAAGATGTGTTGTTGTCGAGTCTTCACTTTTAACAGCGATGTTACATATTTCTCGCTCTTCCCCGGTGTCATATTGTGTCGTTTTCTCTTCCTGCGGCCATTCTGCCGGTGGACGCTGCAGAAACGGGGGCCCTCGGAACCATCGGTGCGACTCGTCGAACCCTTCTGGTGTGGCTCGGGTTGCGTCGTCTGCCACGTTTTCTTTAGACGGTAGCCAACGCCATTCGTTCTTTTTGGTCGTATCTTCTATCTCCGCCAGGCGATGAGCGACGAAAGCTTTGTACGCGCGAGGCTCCGATCTTATCCACACCAGTGCAGTACGGGAGTCGCACCAGTATGTCTTGCCTGCTATGTCGCCATCGTGTTCATCGATCACGGTCTGCGCAAGACGAGCTCCCAGCAGTGCCGCTTGTAACTCGAGCCGTGGTATGGAAACTGGTTTCAGTGGTGTTACGCGGCTCTTGGCGGCGGCCAATGATATGTTAACGCTGCCGTCTGCTCGCTCCGTTCTCCAATACACTGCTGCTGCGTAGGCCTCCTCGCTTGCGTCGACGAATGTGTGTAGTTGGCGCGTCGACACCGGGTTGTAATCGTAGCATCGCGGTATTCTTAGTTGTTCTATGGCGTTAAGTGAAGTAATCCAGCCTTCCCATTTTTCTTTTAATTCTGTTGGCAGAGGGTCGTCCCAGTCCGCCTTGTAACGCCATGTGTCTTGAAATATTCTCTTCGCTGGGGTGGTCACCGGTGATATTAACCCCAGCGGATCAAATAATGCCATTATGACGCTCAACGCTTCTCGTTTAGTTGGCAAGCGTTGTTTTTCTTTTACGTCGGCAGGCATCTTCATATTGTTAGTATTGAATCCAATATGATCGCTTTGTACATGCCAGAGCAGCCCTAGCGTCTTCTCAGTTTCTTTTCCGCCCAGGCACACGGTCGCGTCGTGTTGTCTATGTTCTGTCGTTATTTCTTCTATTGTTTTTTCTTCGTTCGATGTCCACCCGCTGAGTACGAATCCCGCTTGTTTGTGGACGTGATCGACTGCTTTTACTGTTTGCTGTGCTTCCGTGACAGAGTGGAAGCTCTGCAAGTAGTCGTCCATATAATGGTTTCTTTTTATGGCGACCGCAGCTTCTGGGTACGCTTCTGCATGTTCTTCAGCATTTTTATTTTTGATGTATAATGCTGTGCATGGTGATGATGTCGCTCCAAAGATGATTGACGTCATCCTATATTCCTCCGGTTGGTCCTCCCGCCGCTTGCCTCTCCACAAGAAACGTAAAACGTCTCTATCTTCTTTGCGCACTTTAATCTGCATGAACATTTCTTTTATATCGGCGCTCACTGCATACGGATACTGTCGGAACCTCATGATCACTCCGGGCAGTGATTGTAATAAGTCGGGCCCCGAGTGAAGCATATCGTTGAGACATATTCCGGCTGTCTTCGCTGCGGCGTCGTGTACCAATCTCGGCGGTTTGTTCGGTTTCGCAGGGTTGATGACTGGGAAGTGTGGCAGATACCATGTCCTTCCTTGCGGCGGTGGCATTGGCGCGCGCTCTGCGTAACCCGAGTTGAAGAGGTTCTCGATGCGTTCTTCGTACTGTAGCTTGAGATTGCTGTCTCGGTCGAGCCTCTTCTCTAAGGTGTGCAGGCGCCTTTCCGCTTCTTTATAATTATTTGGTATTTGGAAGTCCTTTTGTTTCCACAACAACCCTGTCTCGAATCTGCCGTCCGCTGACCTCTGGCTGGTTTCGTCCAATATTTGCATGGCTCGCTGCTCGGGATCTTCTTTCGGTCTTCTCGGCTCTTATTTTAAAGCTGACGATCTTGCTCTTCTCGTGTTTCACCTCCGAGCCGACCCCTTGTATCCACATTGTGTGGGCTGGGCCGTCGGCGCCGATGACGTCGGCGATTGAGGCATCGACTAAGGTGACCGTGCTCCCTTCATCCAATAATGCGTATGTTTCGACGCAGCTTAGCGGCCCCCTTATTGTTACGGGCGCAATCTTTAGGTAAGCGCGGCGGTGCTTGTACGGTCGAGTCGCTGTGTTGACCTCCTTTGCCGATGTTGCGGTTTCCATAGCGGGTTCTTTTTCCATTACTGCTGTTCTGTCGTGATGCAACAATTTATGGTGTTTCATCATGCATCCGCCTTTTCCGCACGGTGGAGCTTTGCACAGTAATCGACGATGTTTGCCTCGCAGACAGCGGTAGCAGATATTGTACTTCTTTGCTACTTCCCATCTGTCATTTGTGGACAGAGCGGCGTATGACTTGCAATCGGGCAGTTTGTGTTCTTGTTTGCATTGAGGGCAGCGTTCTTCATATGGTTTCTTGCTTGTGGCGAAGGCACGTTCTATTTTTCTCGGTCTTCGCTCTCTCGTTTCGCTGTCCTCTGCGATGAACTCCGGCAAGGCATACGCGCTGCATTTATCCGCTTCTTCGTTTAAGAACATTGATATCTTCTTAAGCTCTGGGATATCTTCTTTCTTTCTGGCTGCATTGTCGTACCATTTGCTTTTCAATATGGGCGTGAGTTTGTCTGTGATAACTCGCGTCATTTCTGGACTATGCAGATAGTGTGCTTTCTTGAGTGCTTCCACGGTGCCCACTACGTTCGCTATGCGATTTGCGAATATGCATAGCTCCCTGGGATTGTCCGTAACTTTGTTCAGCAGCTTCAGCTTCTCTATTTCCAAGTGAATTAACGCTTCTGGTCGTCCGAATCTCCTTTCCAAAGCTTCTATTATAATTCTGGGATCTGGTTGGCTTATAAGTAGGCAACCTGCGGCTTCTTTTGC